CAAATGCCAGAATGTAGGTTCGTTGAAAATTCACTTTAAAATATATAACCAACACTTTTAAAGAGTTTCTAATTTCTGGATGGTTTTTTGATTATGATTCAATTTCTTTTCCGCCTTAATAGGTTAATAGAGCTTCGATCAGGTAGACTGGTGCCAGGGGACTAAGAGAATAGTAACACACAAATTAAAGGAGTACTCGGCGTACTCTACCGCTCCCACACCTGTATGGAAGTTGCGTGTTTAAGAAGAGCTATTATGAATGGTTTGCTAGTGGCACCAAGACGAACCTTCTTTCATACTGCGCCTTATACATAAATTGGAAATTCTGTAGGTACGAACGGAGGTCTCATGCTCATGGGTTCAGAATTCACGAAATCAATAAAAATAAAAACGAGAGACTCGAAAGAAAAACCCAAAAACTAACAAATTTACTTCAAAACATAATGTCCTGCAGACTAAAGAAAATTTAACAATCCCCAACATATCGGGAATGAAACCAACTTTAGAAGACGATTCGAATATTCTTATAAAAAAACACCGAGAACCTTGATGTATATCGGCATTACCTATGGAATATAAGAAAGCAGAGGGCTGGCATTAGCAAGGTTATCATACAGGCTGCCAAGAAGTACCTTGAAATAACAGAACTACGAAAGAGAGCAGAGCTGCAATTTCCTTCCCAAAAGATTGTGGAAGTGGAAGTTATAAAACTGCTCCAATGGAAATCAAAGCAGCAATAATTGAAGCCTTCAAAGCCTTTGAAATTCAATGCAGCCTTCTCGATATAAAGGATGTCGACTCACGGATGGGTATTTTGGGTTGTTATATGCCGAGGAACAGTCTTTTAATTTCACAAAGGACTGTCTTGATGAACTAAAGCCTGCAGCAATTACTTCCACGTAGAAAGATTTACGGAAATTTCATGCAGATGGAAGAAATATCATAGAGAAAAAAAGCTATAAATAAATATAATATCCAATATATAAGACAAAAATCTATATATTTCCTCCAGTGAATTGAATGGAGGTTTTTAATTAACATTAAAAAGACACAAAATCTCCACATAGAGCCCAAAACACTTGCTTTAACGAAAATATATTTCACAAAGAAAAAAACTGACTAACAAAGATTTTAACAAAAAATTATGATCTGTTAGCAGTATAGATCTGGTAAATTAATTAAAATTTTGATATTTTTACAATCAAAACCCTATAGAATATGTAGAAAATGGGTTTACATCTATCAAATTGTGATATCCGTAATGTAAGTGCAAGTCTGGTACATACTATAAAATTAGCTGTTCGCAAAATCTACTGAATCAATGATAAAAAATTGAAAACAAAATTTAATCCTGGACCAAACAAAGATTTTAACAAAAAAAATATGATCTGTTAGCACTATAGATCTGGTAAATTAATTAAAATTTTGGTATTTTTACAATCAAAACCCTATAGAATATGTAGAAAATGGGTTTACATCTATCAAATTGTGACATCCGTAAGGTAAGTGCAAGTCTGGTACATACTATAAAATTAGCTGTTCGCAAAATCTACTGAATCAATGATAAAAAATTGCAAACAAAATTAAATCCTGGACCAAAAATAATTTTAAATGATTCATCCAAAAATGCTACAGATTAAAGTAAACATATAAATGCAATAAAACGCCTGAATAAAATGCCAGGACTTCGGAAATGCTAAAAAGCGATGGTCAGTTCCCTTCATTCCCTCATGAAACAATTAACGGAGGAAATAAACATCCCTCATAACTGGATTAAATTAATAACCTGGAAACGAAAATATTTGACTATTATATATTCCTTGTTCTTATTTATGGTTCACAATTTCTTCAGAAAAATAAAATAAAGTCGCAAAAGAACAATGGTTATAGAAATATTGCTTATAAAACTTGAAAAGATCGAAAAAGAAATGAATGGGTTAATGAAGCAACAAAAGTGACAGACGTTAGAGAACAAGTGGAAATTTCAGTTGACAAAAGGATGAGAGATATGTTTCTAAAACTAGTTGCTTCATGGTGTTTACTATTTCATAGCCATTTCGAAATATAAATGATCATAACTCGTTAAATACCCTGACGGGATGCCCAATTGAAAAAAATGTGTGTTTGCTTTGCAACAGTTATTAATCACCCCATACAATTTAGCATATTATCCAACATCATTGCCTACATTTTTTCTAAATAACTTTTTTTTGAATATTCTGTACCATAATGCAATTATCGACCAATATCGCATTAAAAACTCACCCTGTATACGTATCTATACACCAGTCTATCTGTGAAAAAATCATCGATTTCACGTAAAAATTTTATACATTTCTTCTTAAAAACTCCTCTAGAGTTACTGTTTAAGCAAATTAATATATTGGAAAAAATAAGAAATAAGTGTTTACGACTTTGTCATGGATGTTTAAACAGCACACCAACAAATATTTTAGAAATCGAAACAGCAGAGCCTCCTTTGTATCTTAGACGACAATTTTTGTGTGATGCTTTTATGTCAAACCTAGCACAAAAACGATCTGACAAAATACAGGAACTTAATTCCAAAATAGATAATTCCTTCTGGCGACGTAAAAATCATTTAAAAGTGATAAACACTTATCAGCACCTAATTAAATTTAACAGTGAGTTACAGAAATGACATCTTTCCGTCCTATAATTGCGATTATAAGCTATTAGAATTACGTATCCCTTACTATTATCTAAATATTGAATCACATGCAAATACATTTAATATAAATGCGTTTATTCACTAAACAATTCTAAAAAGATAGTCAGATTATATTTATTCAGATGTATCCAAATTTGACGAACCTACTGGATGCGCTTTTTACCATTCAAATCAAAATATATCCAAAAAATTCAAACTTCCAAGTCAAATATCTCTTTACATTGCTGAGCTCATCGCAATTCTTCAGACTTTGAGGTATATTAATGTCCATCACAAGAGTATGTTATAGTAACAGATAGCAAAAGTTCGGTAGACACAATAATACAAATTAAATTATCAAGTTCTTCATCAGTAGTGATTATAAGAATTTTAGAAGCGGTCCAGTCACTTACGAACAAAGGTAAACACATTTCTTTTATTTGGATTAAGGCCCATTATGGAATTAACAGAAATGAAATAATGGATAGGAATTACAAATGAAACAGTGGCAACAGGAATATAATATCTGATTCAATATGAAACTAGGGTTGGGCCCTTCTCAAAACTCCACTTATTAGAACATGTGATTTTTGATTGTGCAAACTTCCAGATGCTAAACCAAACGTTATACAAAAATATACAAACAGTTACGCTCCCCACCAATTTAAATTCCATTCTATGTACACGTCACACAAATTTTTACAAAATTGTTTGTAACCATCTTAGAAAATATGAAAATTGATATTTAAAAAAAAACAAAAAAAAAATAAACAAAAAGAATAAGAATAAAATTATTGCTGTATGAAAGGATGCTGCTAGTACTCATAGACGACATGATTGAGAGGTCAATTTGGTTTTTATAAACGGAAAAGCACGATTGATGCAATCATGAGTGTATTCGAAACATTGCGAACCGGAGGGGATGAACTGAACATCGCTGGGCGGCCCTGCTGTTGTTTGATGTTAAGAATGCATTCAATGCGCTGCAGTGGAACGAGGAAATGAAGGCAGTGGAGGAGAAAAAATGTCCTGGAAAGAGACAGGTGTGAATTTTGTTACATTAAGAGAAATGATTAAGAGAATGATTGAAAATAAATCAGGTTGGACTAACATACACAGCTATATCCGTGCAGTGATCAAGAAAAAGGAAGAAGAAGAAAGACTACTGGACCAACGGCAAAGGTAAGAGTGAAATATGCTGGAAGTTGAAGCTAGAAAAGTGGATCAGACTGTATGAGTTAGAATTCGTGAGTCAGACTGTAGGGAAGGAGGAAATGCCCGTCTGGGAATGATGCCGTAATAGAAGCGATGAGGGTCTTCTACGCACTACCTGAAACGAGCTTCTTTGCTGTTGAATGGAGTGTCGATTGGAAGCGTAGATGAAAGTAGTGCTTCGGAAGTGATAACGGCCTTACAGCGATCATTCCGCTTCCGGATCGCTGGATGAGAGAGGAGGATCTGGGTTAGCACGTAGGCGTTCGGCGTAGACTCGGCGACGAGAGGGCATTTTAAAGTACCTCGGGAACTATCGCCGGGAGTACGAAGAACGAATGGACTGAGATGTCTTTTAAAGATTCCAGATCCACCCCTCTATAAAGACGGAATAAAAGGTCTTAGTGAAAAAAAAAAATATTATTAATATTTAGTATTAGTATTTAGTTTTAGTATTTAGTATTAGTTATTATTAGTATTTGTTAAAATATAATGTTTCTCAGCTAAAGCTATGAAATTGTATCTATGGAAATAATAATTTTATTAAAATCTAAAGCTGGCCAATTGGTCTAAACCAAGGGTATTAATCTAAACATACACACACACACGCACACACAAGCAAGTACAGTTGTTTATTTTATTATTTATTATTATTATTATTATATTTTATTATATTTTATTATATATTATTTATTACTATTTTAATTTAGAAACTCGCAAATTAAAGAACTTTTCAAGATTTACAACTTTTATTTGAACCATTTTTGTCTAAAATGTATAAGAAACGTTTTATAGGCAAAAAATGAGGTTTTCACTTTTTATAACAAAAAAAAAAAAAAAGAAAAACAAAGCTAAATCAGCCGTACGTCTTTTAAACGTTTTGTCATCATCTATCCCTCATATACCTTTAAGAACATTCAAAAACCTGTATAAGATTTTTTCAGCTGTTATTCATCCAAAAATCGAATGAATAGATCATGTTATCCAACATGGTCTGTTTAGTTTCAATGTAATATTGGATTTAATTTGAGTTAGACTTTAATTTTAGTTAAATTTATTGGTGTCGTAAAATTAGAACAGGCTGTAATTCTTACACATTCTTTCTGCTACAACTTACGTCAGGCGGATAAGCTGGATAAATGGGTGAAAGATATTTCAATATTTGTAATGATAATTGATGCCACATGATGCTAGATTCACAGTACGTGCACTCAGATTTTAATGAACATGAGTGATTCGCTATCCAAGCTGCCGTTATCATACATTTCAACAGCCAACACACATCTTTACAAAGTGATGAATTTAAGCCAGTGTGTTTGTCAGTGTCTTGTAGTTCCATTTGCTTCAATAAGATGTCTAGCATTAATAGACAACAATACAGATTGTGTTCTGCATCAGTTTCGAACTCTGCTTGAGGGGAGAGCCTGTTTTCCTCATCTGAAAATGATGTCTTTCCTGAATCGTCATCTTCAATAAGAGGTGCTGCAAGAGTGAGAAATAGTGTGTGAAACTTGTTCACTTTCCAGAGTTGCCACTTATATAGCACTACTGCATTCTGTAAACTATAACACCAAATACATTGTAGTTAAAAAGATGAATTAAATTTGACTTGTGCAAAGCCAGCAGAATGTATAGTGAATCAAGAAGCATATATAAATATATATACCCAATAAAAATTTTTGTGAGAAATTAATAACAATTTTATTCAAGCAATGAAGCGTTTTTTATTTCATATATAACTCAAATTAAAGTAAAAATGTTGCTGCGTTATTCACACAACTTAGTTTTATAAGTCAGATCATGAGTTCACTTAACATTGTTAAATTAATATGAATTCCACATTTAAAAAGTAATAATTGTAAAACGTGGTATTTTTATTATTTGTACATATTTAGTCTAAAAGATCAGCTTCAAAACATCTATGAAAAAAAGATCTTAACTAATTTGTTACTTTATAGAAAATATAACTAAATGTGAAATCACACAGCCATTTTAGCTCCTGACAAGGCCAATTGACTATTGATTATGTCCAAAAAAAGAGAGCTAAAAGGAACTACAACGTTAAAGGATTTTTATAGTTTCTTATGGTCAATGGACCCCCAAATATAATAAACCGCGAAGTGCGTTTTTGAGAAAGGATTGAATTAGTCCATTTTTCAGTTTTTTAGTTTTAACTAGAATTTTATGCAATTTTGTACAGGGTGCTAGATGGAGAAATGTCCAATAACCATAGGTATTAAAAATCTAGATTATCAAGTCTGAGTTTTTTATTATTGTGACGGGAAAGTAAAGAAACGCTTTTCTGATAAAAAAGTCTATTGGTTAAACATTACAAAATAAAATTCACATCAAATGCAACTTTTCCCTAATTTTGTTGCAACACAACTCATAAAACAGTATTTCATGCATACAATAACTTATAAACGTTTAGAACTCAAATGGCATTTATTTTTCAAACGTGGATAACATTGCAAAGAAATTTAGTTGCTTTCTTGTCACATAATTTAAACAACTGTTATGTCATTGTATTTTTTGTACTAACTGGTAAAATTTTTGAATATGATTGTTCAGAAAGTAGACACAAACCTTTCCGAGTAAGATGGTTATTTTAGAAATACTGTCGAGTTTCCTTAATAAAATACATGATTCCAACACCATTGTAGGTATTTCGAATTCTCACAGACTTGCAATGGGCGGATTTTACAAGAATTGATTTCATTTTTTAAATACCAAAGGAACATTTTTTCTTCAAACGCTTCTCGAAAAATTGTGTCCATTTGCGTACTATTTCTTCTTGACTGCAATCACCTTAAAAGGAAAAGGTCACGTCGTAAATTGCGAATATTGTCAATCTAGTCTTGTAGTGTTTTCATCTTTTTTTTAAAATTGATGACACCCATTCTTACAACATTTACAACATAGTGAATGAAACGGATAATTTTTGTTTTCGCTCTCCACTCGAATTTTAACCGAATTTTCTTAAGCACATATCTCATCCTGCACGTATCAGCTTTTTTTAACAGGTTCCACTGCCAAGACTTAAAGAAAATACACGAAAACACCACTACCTGTCACAGCATGAACTACATGCACGGAGAACTGGTGAGCACAGAATGACGAGGTTTCCGCGGTCGGTTAATGTGTACTTAAACAATTCGTTACAATTTTAGTGCTGCAAACATTTACAATTTGCTCGGTCAACGGGAACTGAACGAGTTAAGTTCTGTGTGTGAAGTGCCGAATTTTTGTCAAATTTTTTGGATATAAACAAAACTGTTATACCTAAAATTTGAACCATATAGTTTATGGAACACAGTGAATCGTGAAATGATGTTATAACTGTCTCAAAGTGAGTTATACATAAGTTAATTTACTTTAATATTTTGAAGACATAACCAACAAATACACTAGTTCTGTCAATTTCTAATAAACATTGTTCTGTGATACTAGCATATCAGAATAGTCGCTAATTTCCTGGTTTGTATAGGCAACCAGTTTTACGGCATGCCGTATTTAAACTTGCCTATAGCAAACACTACCAATAAATATTAGTGATCAAGCCATTATCGCTTCTGACTACAGGGGCGAGATGAACTCTCCAACTGCAAATAACAGAAATACAACTGAAAGTAACAGCCCTCCAGTTTCATATGTTGCTGCTGCCAAAGCAATACCCAAAACTACGTATCCAAAAAAAGAGCAGGCTATAGTGTTCCATATAACTGATAACAATCTTAAATTATTTGATTACGTCAAATCAATTGGAAATATTATTGGGCCGAAAAACATTAGCTTCGCTTCCAGAATCTCGAACAACCGTTTGTGCATTTACCTAAACAATATAGAATGTGTGGACCTTATACTCACAAATAATCCTGTTGTTCGCGTAGGAGACGTAGACCATAGTATTAGAAGACTAGTTACACCAGCTAAACGTCTAGTTTTATCAAATATATGTCCATCTATTCCACATGAGCTTATCGAGTCAGCACTCAAAGATTATGGCCTACAGATTGCTTCACCCATCTCATTCCTAAGAGCAGGAATTCCAGACGACGAATATAACCATATTCTTTCCTTCCGTAGACAGGTTTACATAGTCCCACCGAACGATAACTACGAGATCCAAACTTCATTGGTCATTCCATTTGAAGGTAATGCACATCGCATATTTTTGTCTACCGATAAAATGCTCTGTTTTTTATGCAAACAATCTGGACATGTAGCTAACAATTGCACAAATATAACTGCCCCTTCAGCTACTACAGAGAATCCATCAACAACTGAAGAAATACCATCCTCACCTGTCCCTGGAATGAAGAGAGCCTTTTCGAATTCAGTCGATTCTAGCGTAATCAACGTGTCAGAAACACAAGAAGAAGTTTCACCTGCAATGCCTCCACCTCATCAAGATACAAACAGAAAACCAATGAAACAAGCTAGGAAGAAGTTAAAAAAAGATTCGTCTGATAGTTCCAAAATCACGGATGCCTCAAAAGAAGCAATAAAAGACTGTTTTAGTAAGTCATCACACTCTTTTTCCACTTCTGTAGACAATTTTATAAGTTTTCTTGAAAATAGTTATGGTAGTAGCAATATATTATCTGAAGCCCAACAATTTACACATGACATCAAATCATTACTCTCTGACATGTATAATATTTATCCTTTTCTAACAGATAGGTCACTAAAGTACAGATTTACAAGAATATCAAAAAAACTTAAGCAAGTTTTTCAGTCTGACACAGCAGACACAGTGAGCATAAATTCCCTGTCATCACTGGAACCTCCAGATGAGGAATGTCTCTCAGATACTTCCCAACATTCCCAAAAATCCTCATTTTAATAAATTTCAATCTAATCCAGTGGAATTGTGATGGGTTTTACCCTAGACTTGAACACCTTCAAAAGTTAATCTTTGATACTACTGCCGACATAGTATGTTTACAAGAAACGAATTTCAAATCTGACCACAAACGACTTCTAAATGGTTTTGTAGGATATCATTTCCTGAGAACTGACTATCTTAGAGCTAGCGGTGGAACATCCATATTCGTATCCAATAATCTCTACTCCACACATCTTCCTATTTTCACAAACTTAGAAGCTATCGCCGTTAACATTTGGTGTCCAAATAAAATTACAGTTTGTAGTATCTACATTCCTCCAAATTATAGTTTATCCGAAGCCGATTTAGTGGACCTCATATACCAACTTCCTTCACCTTTCCTTCTTGTTGGAGATTTCAATGCCCACAATACATTGTGGGGTTCTGAAAAAACCTTCGGCCGAGGAAAAACTGTTGAAAATGTATTGAACATTACCGATACTTGTATGATGAATAACCATTCCAAGACTCATTTTAATATTGCTACTGGTACATTCTCCTCAATAGACTTAAGCTTGTGCCACCCAAGAATATATCCTAACCTCACATGGAAACCAGTTGACTATCTTTATGACAGTAATCATTTTCCTATTCTAATATCTGAAAAATCTGTTAAACATTTCGACTCCTTTAAAAAATGGAACATTTCTAACGCTAACTGGGATGGCTTTCGATTATATACTGAAAACAAACTAAATCAGCTACAGTTATCAGAAGATGCAAATGAAAATATTGGCGCTTTCAATAACTGTATAATCTCCGCTGCTGAAGCAAATATTGGACAAATAACAATTTCTTCGTCTCGTAAAAAAACACCTTGGTGGAACGAAAGATGCTCTCTGGCTATCCAACAAAGTAAGGCAGCATTAAACAAATACCGCAGAGACAGTACTGAAGAAAATTTAATTTCCTTAAAAAAACTGAGAGCCAAATCTAAGTATGTAATTAAACAAAGTAAAAAAGACTTCTGGAAAAAACACGTCTCATCCATAAATACTGACACTCCTTCTAGCAAAATTTGGAAAAAAATTAAACACATGACAGGAAAGAAAACCTATTCAAAAATTTCTGCCATACTTACTCAAAACAACACAGTCACTTGTAGTCAACAAATTGTTAACATCTTGGGTGAAACCTTTCATAAAAAAGCAACAAATAAACTTACTTCAAATTTTCAGCTTCCCATGTCTACTAATCTAAACTCCAGTTTATCTGATAGCAGAAAATCAGATCAAATTTCCTTAAATATGCCATTCACAATACAAGAATTATCAGACACATTGTACTGTTGCAAAAATTCAGCTGCAGGTCCAGATAACATCCCCTTTATCTTTATTAAAAATCTTTCAAGGCCTAGTTTAGCTAAATTGCTGGAAATTTACAATTTAATATGGACCAAAAAATCATTTCCAACTTTGTGGCAAAAATCCACAATAATTCCTGTCAAAAAACAAGGCAAACCTTCAACTGATCCAAATTCCTACAGACCAATCTCTCTTACATGTACAATGTGCAAACTTATGGAAAAAATGATCAATAAAAGACTCCTGTGGTTCCTCGAAAAACATAAAATAATAAATTTGGCACAATCAGGTTTTAGATCAAATCGAAGTACAGCAGACAATCTAGCAATCCTTCAAACATCAATTATTAATGCCTTTCAGTGCAAACAAGACCTAATAGCTGTTTCGTTTGATATCGAAAAAGCATTCGATACTCTGTATAGGCCTCTTATTATAGCTAAACTCGAGGAATACTGTATATCTGGAAATATGTCGTCATTTATTAATCAATTTTTAACAAATAGAACTTTTAACGTAAGAGAAAATGGCAAAATTTCTAGGACTTTTAAACAAACTGATGGTGTTCCCCAAGGGTCGGTATTGAGTCCTACACTCTTTATTCTTGTTTTAAACGATATATGTAAAAAAATTGAGCTTCCAGTCAAGTTTGCACTCTACGCCGATGATTTAATAATTTTTTGCAGAGGAAAAGACACTGTTGCTACTTGCAAACTACTTCAGAATGCTACCGACCAATTGCTTAAATGGACTTCAGTAAGCGGATTTAACTTTTCTGTTGAAAAGACAAAAATCATTAAGTTTTCTCGCAGGACAGCCAGTACTATAGATCCTAAAATTACCATAAATGGTACTTGTCTACCTGCAGTGAAGAGTATGCGGATTTTAGGACTCACATTCGACAGCAAACTTACTTGGAAAAGCCATTTAAAAGATCTCAAAACTAAGTGCATGACAAATCTTAACTTATTAAAAACTCTGTCTAATCATCATTGGGGTGCAGACGAAGACTCCTTGCTTCAGATTTATAGATGTCTTATTCGTTCTAAAATAGACTACTGCAGTTTCATTTATATGTCAGCTAGCCCATCAGATCTAAAACTGCTAAATTCTGTACACAACACTGCACTCCGAATATGCCTTGGAGCCTTCAGGTCGAGTCCCGCAGAGAGTTTATACAGAGAAGCTAATGAACTTCCCCCCTGGCTACGTCGCCGGCAACTCCTTTTAAAATATGCATCTCGAATCTCAGCTAATACCGAAAACCCAGCTTATAAATTATTAAGTAATGAACTTTTAAACTCTCCTTCTCCTATTAAACTTAAATCTATGCCACAGTATCTCTCACCACACCTGAATAATATCGACCTTTCAGCCACAACTCCGATATTAATATCACCTAAACCTCCCTGGAATAAACTGATAGCAGATTTTAATCTCTCGTTAACTAATTATGATAAGCACCAGACAAATCCACAATTTCTAAGGCAAACCTTTACAGAATTAATTGCTAACAACAGATTTGACCAAATTTTATACACAGATGCTTCTAAGAGTCCTATAGCTGTTGGATGTGCTGTAACTTCAAACACAGATTTAATCATATCTTGCAATCTTCCGTCCTTCTGCTGCATACAAACTGCTGAATTATTCTCTATTCTCCAAGCTACAAACTCACTATCTCCAGAATATAAAAAAGTAGCAATATGTACAGACTCTTTAACGTCTATCTATTCTCTCAAAAGTATGTACACGGTGCATCCTTTGGTTCAAGCTATTCAAAACTCTTTTGATAGTTTAATTTCAATGGGAGTATCCATAACCATGATCTGGATTCCGTCTCATGTAGGAATCCCTGGTAATGAACTAGCCGACCTATTTGCAAAACAAGCTTTGTCTTCTAATATGGAGACTGAAAACATACAACTACATACAGATTTACAGTCGTATTTTAAAAATATCATACAAATGTCTTGGCAAGATCACTGGAATAAAATTCCTTCCAAGCTTCGTGACATCCATCCCAGCGTTAAAACGCTTGAGTTTCCTTCCATGACACGAAAAAACAAAATCTTAATCCGCCGACTCAGAATCGGTCATACAAGACTAACTCATAAACATTTAATGACTTCTCAAGATCCACCTACATGTACACACTGTGATAATATTCTATCTGTTAAACATATTCTCCTAGACTGTCCCCGATTTATTAACGAAAGAAAAAAGAATCTGTTGAGTCGAAACCTACAAAATATTCTCAGTTCGCCAGATCAATTCCAAAACCTTACTAACTTCCTGTATGAAACCAAGCTTTACCAGGAAATTTAGAAGAAGAAACGTAGTTTAGAATTGGATAATTGTAATAATTGTATCAATATTTAATGTATTTCTTTATTGATTGTAATGTTACTGTATATTCTTGTAATGTAATATAATAAAATTGTACCTGTGTCAGTGACCTACGCTGTCGAGACACGTAAAGCTAAATAAAAAAAAAAAAAAAAAAAAACATTTACAATTATGATGAAACAGGTATAAGAACTGTACTGAAACCTACTAAAATATTGACAAAGAACAAGCAAAAGCTAGTAGGAAGAATAGTTGGTGCATTTTCAGTGATTGGAAACTACATTCCTTTATATTATCTGTTTCCTCGGAAGAGATTAGCTTCATCATTATTAAGAGATGCGCCTCCAGCAGCTGGTGATTTTGCTAATGGATCTGGTTGGATGGATAGTGAGTTTTTTTAATACTAGTAGTGAACATTTTATAAAGCTTTCGAAGCCCAGCAAGAAAAAACCAGTTTTACTAATCTTGAACGGGCACATTAACCATAGGCAGCTTAAAGGTGTGTTGAGAGCAAGAGAAAATCATATAGTAATGCTGACTATCCCACCTCACTGCAGTCACCGAATGCAGCCACCTGATTTAACATTTTTTTGGGCCATTCAAGGCTCAGTATACTTATGAATGCGATTTCTACATAAGTCATAAAGAAGAACTGATCACAATATACCACGTGGTGCAATTAAGTACCAGAGCATTCCAAAAAGTGGCTATTGTAGACAAAGCTGCCAAAGGTTTCGAAAGAAGTGGCATCGATCCATTTAACCCGGATGTTTACGATGAATCTAATTTCCTACCTTCGACTGTCAATGAAAATGTAGAAAACTTATCTAAAAATCACGAAACTACTACATTAATACAAACATCAACTTTAAATGTTCTCCCACCAAATGAACCGGGGCCAAGTTCATCAGAATTTAGTGCAGGAGCAGGTTCTTTGAAAGCAGAAGTTACCCAGTCTTCATCATTTGTAGAAGTATGACAATCGCCAGTTGCAGTTTCAGACAATAAAAAGAAGAAGAGGCAAAGTAAGAGAAAAGAAAATTCTACAATCTTTACTAGCACACATATTGGGTGTTTTAGAAGAAAAACAAGAAAGAAGAAAAGACACATTTAAACTAGCAGCAGTAAAAATCAAAACCAATTTAGAAGATCAAAGCGTTTTCTTTAACTCCAAAAAAGAAAAAAGCTTAGCAAATATTAACCACTTTTAAACAAAAATAAGATAACAAGAAAGAAGAAAAATGAAAAAATTATTGAGAAAAGTGATCGAAGCAGCAATAGTGAAAGCGAGAATGAAGACGATTGCCTGTGCATTTTTTGTCATAGCACCTATAAAGAAAGGAAACAAGGCGAAGGATGGATTGGGTGCCAAACTTGTCGTCGATGAGCCTACGAAAAATATGCAGGGGCAGAGGAGAAAGATAATGAGTTCATCTGTGAATTGTATTTATGTTAACCATCTCCATTGCCTTCTTACTTATTTTTAATATGGTGGACCTACTTGCCCCAACATATGGGACATGGATAAATGGAATAATCTTATTTTTTTTTTACAAATTTTAAAATTTATTTTTCATTTTATAACATATAAATAAAATATTTATATCATAGGCTTATAAAGTATTTTTTTATAATTATATCACAATAAACAGAAATTATATAAAGATATTTTGCTTAGCTGGTCCTCGCTGCCCCGGTATCCTCTAGTATCTCATGGAATCAAGTCATTTTGTAAAGATTATTGTATTTTGTATGGTGTTGTATATTTATTTATATTGTATAGTGCAAAGCACAACTGTATAACTCATAAACCACTGCATATCTGAATACCCACTAACAACCTATTACGGTTGGTATGGTTGGTGTATCTCAATAAAAAAAAGACAGACATAGAATTTTTGAAGCTGTCTTAAAGATTTTTGTTCCATAAACTAAACTAATCATCTACATACATCTAGGTATTTCGTGGCAACTCTTTACACTTTCTACTCTAGCAACTGAGCCATTCTCTAGCAACGCTACAAAAGTTTTAGTTTGAAATGACAAAAATTACACTATCAAAAGTAGCGTTGTGTGAGAGACTGACTCAAAATTTGGTAACTTACAAATTGATCCTCTTTTCTGTTCTCGTTCTGCTTTACTAGGTATTTCGAGATCGTGCAATGTGATGGGTTCACCATCACTTTCTACTATACCTTCTTTCATGTTTGACACACCTTCCCCAAATATGGTAAAGAGTAAATCTAGAGGAATTATGATTTCCAACAAAGTCAGCGTCTGCAAAAAAAAACAGCAATCAACATTTACCTTTAAAAATTGTTATTAATATAAATATTTGTGTATTATGCAAATAGTACACACAATTGTACCAAATACGAGAAGTACAAAAAATAATAAAGCGTCTGAACAAGATGCAATGATTATCAAAATTGTGGATAAACCATGGAAAAACGTTTAAAATAAGAGATAAGGAACCAAAAATTAACAACACCACTTCCAAAAACCAAACTAAGACTTAGGAAGAGTTAAAAGTTCCCACAAAATCTAAACAGAAACGCATATTAGGGGATGAAATGAGTACTCTTACAGAACACATCGAGGCACTTGTTACATTTTGTAAACATTTAAAAATATTGTATAAGCCTTACCTGTAACCACTGTAATGCTTGTTGCTGTACTTTGGCACTGGTTTTCTGAAATCTGAACGAAACAAACTGATACATTTTTTTCGAATTAAAACCTAGTGGACTCATATCTGTATCAAGAATTTTGTTTAATATTATACGTAGTTCGAATAATTCTTTTTCGGGTACGTCGTTAACGATAGCCTCCATCCAGTGAGGCATGACGTAGTTCCATATTTCTTGAGTTATCACTTCGTAAGGTACTAAGCAAAAAAGACGATTTAATCCGTCTTTTAAATGTGTTGTGCGTGATGACAGTGTATCCCTGAAATAAATTGTATTAATCCTTAAAACTTAAATGATTTTCATAAATGTAGGGGAGTTTAGTCCACAGTGAGACGCGGTAATTAAGCTCAATTAAGTTGATATTTTATTTGTGGATGGGTTTCGTTTGGTGGCACATGCAGCTGTAGTGAATTCGCATTTTCCCAAGTTTTATAAAAGAAATATTTTACGAAGGTAAATAGTTACTTTTTAGAAGGTATTATTGAAGTAGTAATTAATAGCAGGTAGTTTTAATTCGATAATTTTACTTCGAAATATCAATATTATTGTTGTTGGGTCTAACCTCACAAAATTTTAACCATAGAAAATCACTTCTCAGAATAACAACTTGGATTAATTTATATCGAGTAAAATAGTACACAGTGAGACACCACATTGGGTACACAGTGAGACTGTCTCAGTCTGTACCAGGTTGTAGTTGGTATAATTTTTATAAATAAAAAAATTTTTGATAATGAAGATAATTAATTATGAACGTTACCATAATTCGGTATTCATTTCAGATGGTAAGAAAACAGAAACCACGAAAAATTGCTACCTTTTCAAAAGAATCAATGAGTAGGGCGGTAAATTTAATTATGAATGAGAACATGTCTTTGCAAAGAGCCTGCGAATTATGTGCTGTAAAATTTCAAACATTGCAAAGATATGTTGCTAAAAAACACTTGACTGAAGGGGAAATCTCCATGACCCCTAATTATGGCTACAGATTGGTGTTTAACGAGGAACAAGAACAAAATTTTAAAGAGTATTTGGAAACCTGTAGCAAAGTGACGTATGGGCTAACGACTTAAGATGTTCGTAAACTGGCATATGAATTTTATGTTGTAAATAAACTGAAAACGCCAGAATCATATGCAAGGATGCAAAACTTTAAGCATAAGACAACCAGAGGCTTGTAGCTTATCAAGACTGACTTCTTTTAATAAATACAATGTAAGAATTTTCTTCGAAAATCTCCGTAATATATTGAATAAAAACCTATCACTTCTCCAAGGATCGAGAACTTTTAATTTAGATGAAACCGGGCTCACCACTGTTCAGAACCCTAAAAAGATTATTGCAACAAAGGCTGTCAAGCAAGTTAACCATTGTACGAGTGGTGAACGAGTTGAGCTAGTTATAATGTGTGCCATTGTTTCTACTGCTGGAATTTCCCTGGCACTAGTCCTAGTATTTCCTAGGAAATTTTTCAAGCCGCATATGTTATAAGGTGCTTCTCCCGATATATTAGGGTTGGCAGCGCAAAGCGGCTGGATAAATTCCGAGATATTTGTCGAGGTATTGGAACGTTTTATTAAACAAACAAATAGTTCAATAAATAATAATCCTTCTCTACTGATTAATGATAATGCGCAGAGTGTCACATATTTACAAAAATAGTTAACAGGGCTAGAGAGGCAGGAGTTTTTATATTAACTTTGCTCCTCATTGCAGCAATAAAATGCAGTCCCTTGATCTAACAGTTTTTGGTCCGATTAAATTATATTATAACAGAGACTGTGACAAATGGATGCTAAACAATCCTGGTATTCCTGTATCAATTTACAATATAGCCGAGTGTATTCGTCTTGCGTTTTTGGATGCTTTTCCCTCAGCAATATAGTTAAAGGATTTGAGAGATCGAGGATTCATCCATTTAACCCTGATATATTTGAGGATGCTGATTTCCTTCCAGCAAGCGTAACTGACAGACTGTTAGACACCGATAAGAGCACAGATCTATCTAATGCACCAGGTCCAAGTCATGTTAATGCTGCTGTAATAAATTCTGTTAGTGGAGATAATGATGTTGACAAGCTGAAATAATTGAATTTGCTCAAGAAACTCCGCCAAAAGAAACATTAAGTTTTTAACCCCTGAAATTATGCGCAGTGTTAACAGATACCCATGAGAAATTACTTATTGAAGAAAAAGAACAAAATAAGGCAATGAGCCAAAAAACTAAAATCTATATGAATGAATTAAAATCCTTAAAAAAGGGAAAAAACGTGAAGGGACCATCGAAAAGCAGAAATATTTCAGAAGAAAGTGATACAAATCAAAGTGAAGAGGAAGTCGAATATAAAGAGGATTCCTCAGACATGAAATGGAGATGAAATTTATGCGGATCGAAGATAAAACAGAAAATTTGTGCTCATACGGTTTCCTGGTAGAATACATTATATTGGAAAAGTTACTGGTAACAATATAGCTATAATACCTCGTATTATTGCATATTTTTTAAATTTTCTTTTAATTACAGAAGTAAAAAAGCAGGATGAAGAGTTCAAAGTGTCGTTTTTGAGGAAAAGCAATAAAATAGACAGCTGACGTAGCTAGACAGCTGACATCTTTCCTAACGTAGATGACGTCGTTTTTATGAGAAAGCCAGATGTGGTATTTGTGCTTCCAGATCCATTGCCAGTCACCAAGCGACAATGCAACATTTTTAAATTTGGTATAACATTTTCGGGACTCGATGTTCGATAAGGAAACTGAAATACCCATATCTCACTGTGTACTGTATACTGTGAAACCTGTCTCACTGTGCTTCGCATGAGGAACACAGTGAGACAGTTTTCATGAAAAAAATAAACGCTTGTTCACAATTTGTGTTTTTTTTTCAGTTTTAATCTATTGTGTTGTTGGCTTAAATAGGCATTTAAACTGTAGTTAAGGAATTAAATTTAATTTTTGAAATTTCCGACTTCTATTTGAAGAAATATGATTTTTGTCTCACTGTGAACCATCCTCTCTTACGTAGTTTTGAATTTTTATGATCAAACTGATAATTGAAGAATTTAATACATGATTTTTACTTGGTTCATATTTACTTTAATCTAATTAACTTGACCAATATCTTACCAATGGCCGCCTATGCGAGCATACTCTGGAGGATGGGGTAAAAGGCATGAGATAAAAAGGTTATAATGTGTCTGACTAATGCTTCGTAGCCAGTTGCATACAATTTCAGTCTTTAGTTTCTCTAAGGTACTTTCTTCTTGTCCTGCAAATATAAATATGAATTATTTCTGTATGAAGTATATAGAGCAAATAAGGAGACAGTTAAAGCGATTCACTAAATTGACTGAATAACTAACGTCTTGCCATATGAGGCTAGATTTAGACAGCTCAACTTTACCAACCTCAAATATAGAATAACAAGAGATGACCTGATTGAAACATTTAAAATACTAAAAGGCTAAAAAATACACCATCTGGATATCTATAACTTCAGCAATAACACATACCTTAGAAGTCATAAGCTAAAAGAAAAATGTATTCAATTATTAAGAATACATTTTCTACCAAACAGAATCATTTACTATTGGAATAGATTGAGTAATAAAACAATTAGTTATGCCTAAAAAAATTGTTCAAAAATCGTTTAAACGAAGAAGTGCAAAACGGGAACTATTTTTTTACATTATAAAGTATCACATTCACACAAAGTTACTGGGACAGCATTCTGATCTTAACTTTCTATATTGGTTTTTACTAATGTGGTATTGTATTAATATTTTGTAATATTTTACAAAAGACTCAGTAATCTCAATACTGAAAAGTATTATAATAATAATCTGCAATAATATGTTAGCATAATATTACCATCGTATGAGTATGCTGTCATGTGGAACCAATGAAAAATCATAGCTAGCAGACGACCAAGTACTTCAACCAATGTACTTTCTGTTGGAGTGCATCTACCAACCAATAGCCACACTCCATATCGTCCCAGAAGCTGTCTTTCTTCTATTGTTATATTGTCTAAGGCTGGTACGGGACTTTTTCCTTCCTTTCCTTCTCTACCTTCTCTGCCTTCCTTCTCGCCATCTCTTTTCTCTTCTTTCTGCTCCAACTGCGGTATTTTTGCTTCTTTCAGTAAACTAAAATTGATGAACATTTAGTTAGTCTCTAAAATAAATTAAATAAAAATTAAAATGTACCTTACTATAGCCTCTACCATATAAGTCTGCATTTCAGGTTCCATATTCCAAGTTGGTGGTATACTTTTATGGACTACGTGATCTCCACCACGTCTATTATTATGTCTGTTATTATGACATTGTTCACAGTATCTTATAGGATGGTTTCCATTATAGCTAGCACATTCAGTAGAAAAACAAATAGATATTGCAGATTTATCAGTTGAGCGACAGTTCTAAAAATATTTATACAAGTTAAAATGATGAAGTTACAGAAAGTAGTAGTTTCAGACTGGCATTGAATAAAAAAGAGTTCCAGGTGATTAGCGTTAAATCGGATTACAGGATAGTTTTAACAAGACATTGCTTGGGGATTGATATATAGAGTTGACCTAAAGTCTGGAAATTCCCAATTATTTCTTAAACGGACGGTCCAAATTATACAAAAACAGGGATAATTAAAAGTCTACTACATTGCTACATGTAGTAGTTTAAAATATTCACAGTTGTTAATTTGACAGTATCCTAAGCGACGGCAGAATGCGTCTATTACATTTCCACATGTTTTTCTAGAAATTAATATGAATTCATTGATAATTATTTGCCTTAAATCTGTAATACTTGCTGGTTTAATTTTATAAATTCTGCTTTTCAAGTATCCTCAATAAAGATAGTCTTTAGAATTCAAATCGGGTGAACGAGTAGGACCATTCAATACTACCTAATCTACCAATCCATCGTCAGGGAAATGTCTGATCTAAATAACGTCGAACATTTACACAAAAATGAGCTGGAGCTCCGTCTTGCTTAAACAATATCTCATTATTGAGATTGGCTCCAGACTCATTTTTCAGGGCAGGTACAATTTTATTTCGAAGTAGCATTTCATAATTATTGCTTCTCAATTGTTACTACTAAATTTAAGATGATAACTTACGGCAAAATGATTTTGAAAAGTAAGGGTTTTTCGAAGTGGGTATTACACAGCAATGACGGAATATATAAAGGTGCGTGTAGTATATTTAGACTATGATGACGAAAGATAAAGAAGCTAGTGGTGTGTTGTACTAACAGACTGATTTAAGATCAGCTATGATGTACGGCAGCAAATGTTAGCTAGTTAAAATAAATAATAATATCAAATGTGTCAAATGTAGACTATATTTTACCTTATTCTCGCAAACCATAGAAACTTGTTGCATTGGATGTAAGATATCAAAAAACATTTGGTTTGGATGTTCCCGATGGATTTCGTTTGCGCACTCAATGCATAAATACAGAGGTGGTGGTGTATCACTTGCAAAGGTTATTGAGATGCAGTGATCGTAACAAACTTTAGCAGCTTCAGCGTTTCCGGTATTTGGACACATGTCTCGTTGGCAAACAAAAGGCGTCGGGTCTAAAAGAAAAATATAATCGAATTGCTATGATGCATCACTGAAAAATTGACTTCGCTAGTATATAAAAAGTGGTTACCTGCAAATTTGCAAATAAGGTTTTTGCGATCAAACAAATTGGCATTGAACGTTGGCCAGTAATAAAACAATAATTTTGCAGCTGATGATCGTGCTGTTGATGTACCATAGGCAATCACGCTTAAAATATCCTTTAAAATGTTCTGCTTTAACGTCATTAAACATTCCAATAGTTGGCAGTGATGGGCAGGATTTGTGGAATATTGAAAAACCATCATTATAACAGCAGAAACTGATTGACAGATGTTATTGTCGCGATCACCATGCCTTGCTAAAATCATATTTAATAGCTTTGAGTTTTTTATTTTTTCTGTATTTAATTTAATTTTATCTGCCACATTCATATTGACTATTCAGACATGTATTATACATTTTAAAGTAGATTACTTCAAATTGATATTGACAATGTTAGTAAGGATAAGGTGCGTTCTTTGAATGATTTTAATTGAAGACAGTTCATTAGATTAAATAATATGTATTACATAGGCAGATAAATTTAAATTATTAGAAGAATTTCGTATTACCAAGTAACAAACAGAGTAATTTGTTTAATTTATATTTTGAGAATTATTTCCGAAGTTGAAATCAATACGCCAAAATAATCGTATTTTAAACTGAAAAAAATTAAACATTTAAGTTACAATATATCTTTCTACAGTCTCTCTCCTTGTGGAGTATTGGGTGTTCTTGCGTTCCTTAGCCAAAAGTGAAAGATACCTGATTGGCTTGAGTAGTCATCCTCATCTGTTTTATTCCTTCGAAATTTGATGATATTTTATTACGGTTCTTCTACATTATTATCCGGTCTTCCTTTTCTTCTTCGTCCGCCCGGTCGGTGCTGTCTGGTTATATTATTTTGGTCTTTCATTAGTCTATGTCCAATCCATTTCCATTTCCTTCTTTAATCGTGACTGTTATTTTCTCTTGTTTTGTTCATCTCCATAGTTGTGCGTCTGTTATTTTATCAGGCCAGTATACTTTTAGGAACTTTCTCAACGATTTATTTATCAAATTTTGAACTTTTTTGGTAGTTGTTTCCTGTCTTTACGATTCTACGCCGTACAATAATATATTCTCCTAATTTTGCTGTTAAATATTTTGATTTAGATTTTTGAAAACACTTAATTGCAAGCTAAAAGAAAATATCAAGTGGATTTTTATTACTTATAATATATTAATACCAATATTACTACTATTTCATTTTAAAAAGCTATTTTACAATAATTTCTTAACTTTTCTAATTAGTTATTAACAATTAGTAGTATTATACTTACTTATTGTAAAAGGAAGAATATAAAAACACAAAGTATTAATTATTTCTTGATGGAGGTGGTGAGGAAGTACAGATATAGACGATGCTGCTAGATACGGCAAATTATCTATAAGATCGTGTTCAAGAAACGGTAAAAGACAGCCAAGAATTTGTAGAATTGATTGACCAAAAGCTGAAAACAAAAATATAATTATTATAGTAGAAAGACGTTTGAGATTTTGTTATAATTATTAGAGTTTTATTATGTAACTCCAAAAGGGATCAGTTACGTAGCTGTCTAGAACAAAAACAAAAAGTGTAATTAAAGCTGTTGAATATATTAAATGATTATTCCTTGGTGTTGTGCATTAGATAATTCATAATAATTGTTAATAATTCTTAGCCATTGTTCACGGTTAACTTTTTTTGACACTTCCCCAGTGATTTTTAATCCTTCAAATGTAATTCTTGAAAATTCAAAAGGAATAAAATGTTTTTTATGGTCGATGATTCAAAAACCTATTATTGAAAATAGAACTATAAAACATGCAGGTGTGTGCTTCCAATTGTTTTTTATAACGACAAAATAAAACTGGACCTAGATTACTGACGCCTAAAATTAGCATTTGGGGTATTTTGTAAATTATATATATATATATATATATATATATATATATATATATATATATATATATATATATATATATATATATAAAAGAGTCTAATTTTAATATGCAGATGTGAATCTGATATTATGTAAATAATCCTTTCTTACAATAAATATGAAAGGATCTGCTGATTTATGAGGTAAAAACTTAAATAGACATTTAACGAAACCTCGACCTATTTTGCGGTATATTTACAAAGACATATAGTACAGAGTTGTACATTGTGCTATTAATAAAAAATAGGTTAGGCCCGTATTATGATATGTTACATGTTATAACAGCTATGTAGTCTAAGTCTACGCTAAGTCCAAGCTTAAAATTGAAATTATGAATGCTTAAATGTTAGATTTTCTTATTGTGTGAAGCAAACTGCAGAAGTTTTAAATGCGTGCGCGTCAGTGAATCATGAAAATCTCCTGGAAGAATAAAGTAACTAACCAGGATATGCTTGAAAGGATGAACAATCAAAAAGAGTAAACATTGATAATTAAAACGAGAATTAGAGATAATATGTGCAGTAATGGGGAAGAGAAAAATGTCTTGTTTGAAGAACATTGTAGAATGGTTCGCTTGCAATTTTATTTAACAATTCGGAGCGGTAATCTGAAGCATTAAAATTGGTATGATCATAGCCAACCTTAGTAGCGGATGTGGCACATGAAAAAGAAAACAAGATGGAAAGTAATTTAAATCCAAATACTGATTTTCTATAACGCTTTTAAAAATAAAGGTGGATAAGAATTTAGGTATTGGCGTGATTTCGGATCGTGAACAAGTATCTGTGTTTGAGGTAAGTCCTGCCCATGGAACAATCTAAATAATCAGGATCTCTGGAATCGTCTATTTTATTATTTGATTTTATTACATTTTTATTAACAACATCGCAATAAAGTACCTGAATTAAGACACGAAATAGAAATCAGTTTTCAGGAAATAGAAATAGCCATAAATTCACTCGAAAATAGAAAGTCACCAGAACCAGACGGAATAACCAACGAGCTTCTAAAACACGGAGGAAAGTTACCCTAGAGATGACAACACTTATAAAAAACTAATATTGCACTGCAAAATACCAGACGCATGGAGAAAGAGCATAATGATACCAATGTTTAAGAAAGGAGATAAAGAAGACCGCAACAATTATAAAAGTATAAATCTACTGAACACAGCACTTAAGCTTACCACAAAAGTCCCAACCAACAAAATCAATAAATAACAACTTTATCAGATGAACAACAAGGATTCAGATTCGGAAGATCGTACGTAGACGCCGTATTTGTACTAAGACAAACCGACTGAATTTCTGCTGTATACTTCTGTGAATTGAAAACATGTGCAGAGTGTTTTTCCATGTGATCTTTAATGTGCATAAATCTTAAAAACCTTTTCTTTTTAACATCAAATATTAAAGATACTGTTTGAAGTTTGAATGATGCAATAGAACTCATCATTTCTGATGTTTTGTTCTTGCCTTACAGTTCCAGATTCAATGCGCTAAGTTTACCAATAAAATCTGCTAGAAATGCCAAATCATATTACCAGTCTAAGTCACGTAATTGCTGATGATCATCACCCCTTTCTTCAAGAAACTTAATAATGGCATTTAGAAAATCTCGAAACCTTTGCAAAAACTTATTGCAACTCAGCCACCTTACGTCGGTGTGTAAGATTAAATCTGGTTCTTTGTTATGTTCATACAGTTGTTGTTTAAACTGCCATCTTTACAGAGAGTTGCCTCTTATTGAATTGACAATATCCATCACGTCTTTTGTGTTAAACCTTTTACTGATCAGGACCGGTTGATAAATAAGGCAATGGTAATTAATGAAGTTCGGGAAATCTTCATCTTTGTAACATAGTGATATACATCTATTATTAACACCAATCATTGCCGGAGCCCCATCAAAAGAGACAGATAAATCTTATCGACAAAATGTTTAAATTCCGTGAATAAATCAATGCCTCATGTTCTAACTTTTATGGATATCATTGTTAGCAACTCTTCTCTTGTTGAGAAAACATCAAAGACCATCCGAATAAAAATAAGTAACTGTGCAATGTGTGCTACTCAAACAAAGAGGACACTTCATGATTCGCTCGCGATGATCGATGCAAGATTGCTAGCACTCCAAAAATTATCGTAATATTTAGGACGGAAATAGGTAGGTATATTATACCGATCATTTTTTCCTTGCCCACAATCGACTGATCTAGGTGCCGCGATCGATGGGTTGACCTCCCCTGCTAAAGGATTTACATATTTTTAAATAAATGTTTAATAGCTTCTAAACGTATTTCTCTTAAAAAAGTGTAGAAATATACAATATATATATATATATATATATATATATATATATATATATATATATATATATATATATATATATATATTTGTTTTTACGTACCGATACCAGACATCTAATGGCAAGGAAAAAGTTCATTTTCTATGGCGTCCTATTTCTGCTCTCTATGCATTATCATTTCAGAATCAGTGTTTGTTATTCAGCAATAAACTGATATAATGTAGTCTATGAATGCTGCGATACGGGTGCATATGAATATATTGATTTATAATTCGGCTTTATTAAATTTGAATAAATATGCAAATTGAATAATAAACAAAACTGTAATATCTGAATAATTATTTTTATTCCAATATTACGCAAATACTACAATTCTTGGTATTTTAATAGTAGAAAATCGCCGTTTAGCTTTGTTCTAGAGGCTATAAAATTTACCAGCTTATGGCATCAATTAAATAACTTTATATGCTGATAAACTATGTTTTACCAACATTTGAAGTAATAATAAACGAATTGTCTTTGAATTAGCTATATAGCTATAATATACTGCTTAATGTTAGACGCTCAATGGTCAAAAATGCTAATAAAGTAGTAAATCATACATGCATAGCGTAAGGAATTTATTTACTATGTAAGTTTCTACTTGATCTGAACTAATATAATAAAAATTTAATTTATATCTCATCGGGTCTGAAAATCTAATTATTTTGAAGTATTTTGCAACTATCATCATCATCATCCTGGATTTACAACCCTGTATGAGTCCTAGCCTCCTCAAGAATTTCTCTCCAGTCATCCCTATTCACCGCCTTCCTCCACCAAGCACGTATTCTCATATTTCCAATATCTTCATCCACGTTATCAAGAAACCTTGTTCTGGGTCTGCTTCTTCTTCTCTGACCAATGGGTCTGTCAATGATTGTTTTTCTGGCCGGGTCAGTTTGTTCCATCCACTATACTGACTAAATATCTCCTTAATATAAACTTGGAAAATTAGGGGTAGCTTGATTCTTATTTCAGGGAGACACGTTTATAAACCATCATATATGCATTGTCCGATAACTCCGATCTTGGCTATCTAATTTTTGGAATTATTTTCCACAATGATTACAATCTTTGTGAGCTGTTAACCTGTCATAACTGTACTACAAAAAATGTCGTCAGGGTTTACCCCAGTAAAGTATTAGACTTTACTTAATTTACAAACGAAGTCTTTGGTGTTAAATGTGTATTATCATCAAATGTCTTTTCTACTATCTTAATAATGACAAATGTAGATTGTATATAAAGGCGTAGTTTGGTCTACTGGTGTTTGAGACGACTAGACTGGAGAACTAGAACTTATCGTTTGCTATAATATAGAGTAAATACAATATAAACGAGAAAGTAAAAAAATACTCACAAAAATAGATAGCGACGGATATTATACCTCAGAAGACAGTAAAAACAAAGTCGAAAGGAAGATGAAGAAGATATTTTCAACAAGAGCAGAAGAATCGCCAGAATACCTAGCAAACAACAGGAAGATAAAAGCAAAATATTCAGCTTTTCAAAAATAATGCAAAATTTAACATATCAAAAATCTGAGGTAAAATGAATAAAAGAATAACAACGAGGATATAGAAATGAACTCCGGGAACTAAAAGAAGAAATAGATGGATTCAAATAAGGTAAACAACAGCTAAAAAATTAAAATGATCAAATGAAACAGGAACTAAAGGTAGTGAAGATAAAGGTGGAGAAGCTTGAGAAAAATAGGAAAGTTATCAATGATATTATCCAACGACTACCGATGGATATAATTAACGAAGCCATAACTAATTTCATGAAAAAAAAATTAGGTATTAAAGTAAAAATAGAAGAATCTTACACACTAGTTGACAAAACATGTCTTGTGACAGCAAAAGACAGAAATGAAAAAAATATGCAAAACAAAAACAAAATAAAACAACGAAGTCGAAACGAAAAATAGCAGAGAAATACATAACGAGAAGAGAATACAAGCGATTAGAATATTCTAAGGAAAGAAAAAGATTCTTTGAAAAAACGATTATAAGAAATCCTAGAAAGTAACAACAGACAAATTGACGATATGTAGGGGAAAGTAGTATACAATGAGACTGTCCCATTGTGTACTACTAAAGTTTGTACCAAGTGTGTATGCTATAATAATATGTTGTATAGGTAGATCAAATGTTTATTATGTTTGTTACATACATGAAGCGCAAAGGAAAACCAAAGAGTCGAGCTACATTCAGCTCCGATGATATGGCAAGTGCCGTACAAGATGTTTTGGGCGGAAAATCATTGAGAATTGCTGCCGTTGAACACGGAGTAAAATTTCAGACATTACAAAGATATGTTGCAAAAAGCGTACTAATCCAGATAATGATCGAATGAAACCTAATTATGCTGTACTACATGTGTTTTCAGAGGAACAAGAAATTTCTTTGTGTGATTAAATTAAACCTTGTAGCAAAATGAGCTACGGATTAACAACCATTCAAGCACGAAACGTAGCATATGATATAGCGATTAAAAACAATATTCCAGTTCCAGCGAATTGGATAAAGGATAAAATAGCAGTTCAATTGAAAACCCTTTCATACTGATCTACGGCAGTTACGAGAGTCACATAACATACCACGTTGTTCAAGTGGCAAAGGATAACGGTGTAATCATACTGACTCTGCCTCCTCATTATAGTAACAAACTGCAACCCCTTGTTGTTTCAATTTTTGCTCCCTTTTAAGCGTATTGCAAAGCCGCTAAAGACTCATGGTTGCTGAGTCATCCTGGTAAACCTATTAGAAGAGGCACATATGAAAGCATTAACACCTACTAATATTTTGTTTGGTTTTAATAACACGGGAATTTTCCCCTTACTGTATATTATACAGTCTTAAAGTTTGGCGCGTTACTCGTATACTCCCATTCAAGAAAATGCATACTTTTGCATATATGTCTAAGTCTATTTATTTTATTTGTTGTCATTTCCGAATATTATCTTTTCTGATATTAATCAATTTCTGCATCGCATTGCAGAGAAATTCTTGTTAAAATATCTTGTACACTATTGATAATTTATATCACAAAAATAGATTTAATACTTGTTTGTTTTCTAGTAGATATTACATTAATTAAGACTACAAACGTAAGCAAAGACAGATTATATATGGTTTGATCGATCAATACTTCCAATTACAGAGTGAATTAAACTATAGAGGTTAGTTTCAGTTTCACGGGATTTCTGTGTTGCAAAATTTCTATCAAGTTATTTAAACGACAAAATCATATAGAACATGTACGAGTATATTATATTGTTATTCTTATTTTTAAATATTATATTTATATGTTATTAAGCCACAATTACAATACATTTTTAACTAATTTGTGACGTTTGGATTTCCACTCCGGAAATCTTTTTGAAAAAAAAAGAATATTTAAAAAAAATCTGCAAAAATGTATATTCCACAAGATGTTAGATGTTTATGTTATTCAAAATTGATGGTTGACTTACTTGGCGTCGATCTTGTAGTCAATAACATGTTCATGGTTGAATAAATTTGAGAATGGGGTTTTTATCAATGGAAAATGAAATTCTGACTATTTTGTGGGTTTTTTTTTGTATTATATGTTTGTGTAATTTGTATTTACGTAGATTATATTTTTGTCTATTGTGTGTTGCATATGTATTGTGTATAAATTGTAGATGACATGTATCCGACTTACTATTAATTCGCCACTGTTGGTATATTCTTGTTATTGACATCTTCTACTATTGGCAACCAAAGCCTACTACTATATACGTGAGTTTGCTACACATTTTTCATTATTAAGTATAATAACAGCTATTTCTTTGACTTTTTCCTTTGTTATGTTTGTTTATTTCATGATTATTGACGCATTGTATATTGTACTTTGTGCTCGATGTTCCAGGCATGTTTGCATATCTGAAGTTAGTCTCTGTTCTTTTTTATTTGCTATATTTGCTATAGATATCGCTGCTAGCGTACCAGGCTGTTATTTTAATTATTATGGCCAAATACTAGACAGCATTTCATTTCAGTTTGAACTTCCACAAGTGTTTCTGATACGGAGTTAAATAACTCGAAACACGTGTAGAACAATGATGGAATTCGAATTAAAATGAAATGCAATCTTTTACTCTCATTTTAACGTCTTTTCTTTACGTAAAGAGTGAAAAAGGTAGTGTTTTTCAAGGGTGACCCGTAGATGCATGTCGGAGTAAATGGTTATTCCTAGCATCGTTCAACAGCCTCCAGTAGGAGACTTTGAATTTACGCTTTACCTAATTTGCTATCAAAGAGAGGTCTCGACTTCTTGTTACTTCGTATATATAGTGTATATACGAAGTAACAAGAAGTCGAGACCTTCGATATATATATATATATATATATATATATATATATATATATATATATATATATATATATATATATATATATATATATATATATATATATATAATGGAGTAAGCAAGAAGTTTAAATGGTGTCTATACAAATAGTCCATACAAGGTAATCTTAAAAATACTAATAAAAAACATGTACTTACGTAGTATCCCATTATTGATAAATGGAGCAACTTCTATTAAAGGAATGAGAGAATTGTAAAGGCCTTTATAATCCAAGCTGGGAAAAAGTCCCATTCTAACAGCATCCATTTCTGGATTCTTAAGAAGATCAAACGGAGAATTAGGTACATCTTTAAGGACAGCTAAAAATTTGAAATTAGTCTCACAGTTATACAGTGGGCCACTCTCACCAAATTACACTTTTTCAATTATTCAAGTAAAGCATCAAAACTTTCCATATTTTTTTACTATTTAATACATAAAGTAAAAGTACACAATTTCTAAGTGTTGTACTCTTCACATATGCATTACGATTATTTATACTTTAGTATTTATTTTCTATATGAAAATATACGTTTTTATAGTAGTTTTAGGTTTTCTTTATCTATGCCTATAATAACTAAACAATTTTCAGATAACTTTCAGATAATTTGCCATAGACTCGAACAGGTTTTTTTGCTTATTTTCCTAGAGTAATGCGTGGAAAAGATATTTCAAGTGACTATCGAAGGAGAAAGTAAATGTATTAAAATAAACGAATTTCTAATATATAATATAGCATATGCTGACGATACGGAAATTCTAGCACCAACCTTAGAGGATCTACAGCATTATGTTAGATATGATTGATGCCGCTGGTAATAGGTCGACACCCAATAATAATCAATGCAATCTTGACAGTCGATGGAAATACTGTAGAGCGGATATCAGGATTCAAATATCTGTACACCACGGTTAACGATAAATGGGATGGTGATAAAGAAAATAAACTAAATTTTAATTACTCAAGAACAAGATTTGTCAAACTTAAAAATTTCCTATTAGGTCGTAGTCTCCCACTTGTCCTGAGACTAGGAATTTGTGTAATATCAGAGATGTAACCAGAATATTTCAAATACCCTAATATGGCACAAATGGTTTTAAGAGTAAAGACAATCGTCAACGTGCTGCCAACCATATGACACACGAAGGAAGAAGAGAAAGTGAATCAAACAAGTGTCATTTTTTTTCTGATTTACTCTTTCTACTTGTTAGTAGATTAAAGGTACTTTACATGTGATCAGTAATAATACTGTCTTGCTTATTTCTGACCACTATAATAAAACATTTCCGTAGCCCAAAGTACGAAATCCTTCTCTTTAAATCTGCGTTAAGAGATCGTCAATGACTGCAGAAGAGGTGATAAAACTCATACTTGAGAACAATCTATTGCTATTCTTATAGTAGATAGATAATTATATTCTTCGTAGTAAATATGGATTGAGAGCACAACATCTACAAAATATAATACTAATGTGCTAAAATCTGAAGACGCTAGGAAAACCATAGGAAAATTTTAAATGAAGAGCTGACAGGAATCGACGAAAATTTAAGTATAGAAGAACACTGGACCAAATTCAAGGAAGCTATCCATACAGCGGCTAAAGACTTTTTAAAACCTAACCAGGCTAAAATAAACGAATATTGGTTTGACGAAGAATGTAGATCCATTAACCAACAGAAAAATGAAGCATATAAAAGACTTCAGCAGCGCAGAACGAGATCAAACCTGGAAGACTATGACAATCTTAGACGAGAAGAAAAAAGGACGTTTAGAAGTAAAAAGAAAGAGCCATACAAAAACGCTCTAAACGAATTGTTAACCACCACAATAGAAAAGACCCGCGAAAATTCTACCAGAAGATAAGCAGCTGCAGAAAAGAATTCAAACCCAGAATAACAGCATGTAAAAACAGATATGGTTCCCTAATTAGTGACAAAGAACAGATACTAAACAGTGGGCGAATCATTTTGAAGAACTGTTTAGCGACAGTCGTGAAGAAGACCAAATAGAACTTTGCCTGAAATGGATGGAAGAGCAGCTAGCAATCGAAGAAGAAACTAGAGAAGCCATTTCAAAACTGAAAAATAACAAAGCCCCTGGTTTGGATAATCTTCCTGCTGAACTCTTTAAAAATGGTAGTGACACCCTTTTCAAACACATGCATAAATTAGTAACCGATATCTGGCAACGGAAGAAAACGCCCGCAGACTGGAAATTAGGTGTAATGCATCCTTTTCACAAAAAAGGAGATATGTTGGTGTGTGATAATTATACAGGCATCACTCTACTTAACATGGCATATAAAGTATTGTTCAACGTATTGTACAGAAGATTGATCCCCTATGCTGAACAAATAGTTGGAAACTACCAGTGCGGTTTCCGACCCAATAAATCAACAACGGATCAAATCTTCACAGTCAGGCAGATTCTTAAGAAAACGCTTGAGTTCGGAGTCGAAACCCACCACATATTCGTGGATTTCAAAGCCGCATACGACTCAGTTAACAGACAAAAACTTCTATAGGCTATGGCGGAATTTCAAATGCCGCTTCATCTTGTTTAACTACCGGAACTTACACTCACAGGCGTAGAGAGTGTAGTCAGAATCCAACACGACTTTTCAAGACTCTTCCATTGTAAAAATGGACAGAGAGACTTATTTAACCTTGCACTAGAAAAAGTAATTCGAGAGTGCCATATTAATACGAATGGCACCATCTTTAATAAATCTGTACAAGTGGTCGGATATGTAGATGACATAAACATTATTGCTAGGTCCACAGAATCTCTGATCGAAGCATTTCGATCATTAAGGGCGTCTGCACTGAGAATGGGATTAAAAATAAACGCACAGAAAACCATGTATGTGTATTGTACTAGATCAGGCAACCAGATACCTAGACTATTAATTGATGATCTGGAACTGGAAGGTGTGGACATCTTCGTGTACCTGGCTGACCAAAGACAACAATGTCAGCGAAGAAATTAAAAGAAGAATAGTGCTTGCCAATAAGTGCTATTATGGCTTGAGGAAACAGATGGCCCCAATACTACCCAGAAAATTAAGATTACCATATATAAAACACTAATAAGACCAGTGTTAACATACGGGTCAGAAACGTGGTCACTTATACAGAACGACCAAAAATTGCTTAAACGTTTATAGAGAAAAATTCTAAGGAAAATATATGGGGAGTCCAAGAACAGGTGTTATGACGTAGGCGCTACAACTTTGAGTTATACAGAAGTTTTGGGAAACCTGACGTTGTAAAATGTATTAAATTAGCACTCCTTCGATGGATATGACATGTAATTCTTCTTCTTAACATGCCATACACCAAAGTGCGTAGGCGACTATCTCATTACTAGAATTCTGTTCTTGGCGGCGTGACACAGCTCACCTGTATTGTGTATTCCTGTCCATTCTTTAATATTCCTTAACCAGGATAATTGTTTGCGGCCGGCTCCTCTCCTACCTTCGATCTTCCCTTGTAGGATTAACTGTGGTATTTCATATTTTGCTCCTCTCAATATGTGCCCAAGGTAACCAATCTTGCGTTTTTTAATTAATTCAAAGAGTTCTCTTTCCACGCCGGCTCTATTAAGGACGTCATCGTTTCGAACTCTATCCACCCAAGGTATGCGCATCATTCTTCTCAATGACCACATTTCAAATGCTTCAAGTTTGTTGATAGATGTTTTTTTCAAAGTCCACGTTTCCATACCATAAAGCAAGATGGACCATATGTAGCACTTGACCATTCTGTAGCGTATTTCGAAGTTTAGGTGTTGATTACATAGGAGCGGTCTGAATTTCACAAAAGCTTGTCTTGCCATTTGTATTCGGGTTTTTATCTCGTGTTGTGGATCCGATTGGTCATTGATTGTGGTGCCAAGGTATTTAAAAGTTTTCACGCGATTTATACGATTGTCACCTATGCATATTATCGGGTTTTCTGGAGGGTTTCTGCTAATGACCATATATTTCGTTTTCAAAATGTTGATTTTGAGGCCATATTTTTTACCTATGCTATTCACCCTATCAAGTAATAACTGCTGATCTTCCAAATTATCAGTTATAATCACTGTGTCGTCCGCATAGCGTAGGTTGCTAATTGGTATGCCGTTCACCTTAATGCCTAATTCCGTATCTTCTAATGCTTCCGCAAATATATTTTCAACATATAAATTAAAAAGCATCGGAGAGAGTATGCAGCCTTGGCGGACACCTTTCCGGATTTCAAATTCATCCGTATATTGGTCTCGATCAATCCTCACCTTTGCCATTTGGTTCCAGTATAGATTCTGAATAATTCTGATCTCCTTCTGGTCAATGTTGGCCCTATGTAGTAGTTTCATCATGATATCATGTTTAACATTGTCAAATGCCTTCTCGTAGTCGATGAAGGTGAGGTAGACATCTTTTCGTTGATCTAAGCAGTTTTGTATTAAGGTGTTCAAACATAAAATTGCCTCTCTTGTTCCTAGTCCTCCCTTAAAACCGAATTGTGTTGACCCGCTAAGTTCTTCTAGTATCTTGTACATTCTTGAGTGTAATATCCTAAGGAAGAGTTTCAACAAGTGACTCATTAAACTGATTAAGCGGTGTTCATTGCATTTTGTGGCATTAGCTGTTTTTGGGATCATCACAAAGGATGACTGCAGCCATTCTCGCGGAATGTAACCAGTATCATAAATTCTATTGAACAGCCTTACCAAGATTTCGATATTCTCCTCGTCTAGTAGTTTTATTGCTTCTATATTAATTTCATCTGGACCTGTTGCTTTATGCATCTTTGTGGTTCTAACTGCATATTCTATTTCACTTCGCATTATTGATGGCCCTGATAAGTTTTCGGAAGGAAGTTTGCGCGTTGGTTGTGTTGGTCTTTCGTCATTAAAAAGGCTTTCTGCGTATTCTTTCCACGCCATTGCTATCTCCTCTTCTGACTCTATGTATTCGTTTCTGTCGTTGCGTATTCTTGTTCTGTGGTGGCTTTTGTGTATATTCGATATTTCTTTGATCTTCTTATGTAGTCCAAAACTATCTCCTTTTTCCTGCAATTGTTCTATTTCGTTGCACCTTTCCACCATCCAACGTTCTTTTGCTTTCTTAATTTTCTGACGGATTTCTTTGTGTATCTGTTTGTATTTGTCTTGATTACGTTGTTGTTTATGTTGCCTTCGCTTTTCCATTAGATCCATAATTTCGTCCGTCATCCATTCGTTATGCTTTCTCTTTCTGATCTGTGTTTTAACTTCCTTGTTTACTGCCAGAATCGTTCCTTTAATATCATTGACCATCTCTTCGATATCATCATTTTGTTCTATTACTCGCATTCTTTCATTAATTTGATTCGCATAACTCTTCTTCAGATTTTCGTCTCTCATCAGTTCTCTTGTATTTATAGGTGTGCTGGTATTTGTATTTGTTCTCTTAATTTTTGCTAGTTTTAACCTCACATCTGCTATTATCGGATTATGATCGGATGCAATATCAGCACCTGGATATGCTGCGATTCTTTTGATAGCGTTACGAAATCTTCTGTTTATTAAAACGTAGTCAATTTGGTTTCTAATTATTCGATTTGGACGGTCTCCTGGTGATCTCCAAGTATATAACTTACGAGGTGGGAGCTGAAACCATGTGTTCATGACGACAAAACCGTTCTCCTGGCAGAATTCACACAGCAGGTCGCCTCTTTCATTTCTAACTCCAAGGCCGTACTCTCCAATTATGTCTTCATATCTTCCTTTACCCACCTTGGCGTTAAAGTCGCCCATTATTATGTTTATGTCCTCTTTCTTTGTTAGTCTTATTGCTTTTTCCAGATCTTTATAGAACTTAGTTATTTCTTCTTCTGACTTATCTGCTGTTGGTGCATATGCTTGTGTCACATTTATGTTTACTGGTTTGCCAGTCATTTTGATCAACATGACTCGTTCGGAAACTGGAACAAAATCTGTCACCGATTTACTGGTCTTCCTGTCAAGAGCAATAGCCACTCCATGTCGGTGATGTCTATCTGTTGGGTCACTACACGAGTAATACATAGTAATATTATCTTTCGTAAACTGTCCAGATCCAGACCATCGGACTTCACTGACTCGCATTATATTTATTTTCAGCCGATTCATTTCCTTTATAAGGTTGTGTAGTTTTCCTGGTTCGTAAAGACTATTAACATTCCATGTTGAAATTCGTTGGATATCATCTATTTGGCACCGGGAGATTCTTCGCACCCTCTGACCATCTAAGGTCTGCCCGGGACTGAGGGCCATCTGAGTTTTGTTTTGTTCTGCCATAATGAGATGAGTTATCCTGGGGAAAAGGTAGTGTTGTAGTATCCCGTTACTTTCAACACCGCAGTACCACAGCCATTCAAACTGTCCTAGTCATGCCTGTGGAATTCCAATAACAAGCCGGTCCAAGATAATTTCTTTTGCGCCTTGCGTTGGTACTGGTGATCGCTGCTGCCCTTCACCAGGGTTGAGGACTAGGAGGGATAAATATTAAGGGTGTAGGATAAAGGCTCTGGGACATGAGATTCCACGGTGTGAGATGGTGGAATATCATGAGCTAGCGTGGGCAGGGTCGCTAATCCCTGAAGTAGGTCTGTTTCCACCGGGATTGTGAAAAGTACCTACCCGCTACCCATGACATGTAATTAGGCGAGATGAAAACTTAGGTATCAAGATAACATAGAGGATGATCTAAAATCCATCGGAGTTAAAGCATGGAGAAGAGTTGCCAGAGAGAGGGGCGAATGGAAGATTATTTTGAAGAAGGCTTTGGCTCATAACGAGCTGTAATGCCACTGATGATGATGATGAAATATGGATTGACCATTTAATTATAGAAAAGTGTATACCTTTTCCTCTTACGGCAGCATTAATAGATTCTAATAAGGTTTTATTATATGCCGCATTTATGGTTATAAATGCACAAAATGCCACTTGACGAGATAGCCCCAATGCAAAAAATAATCAGTAAAATATTACCTATCATTTTCCAATAAATATCAATATTGTTTTCTTTGCGAATATTACTTGTACAACAGTTTATCCTACTTAACCAATTATAAGCGCTTTATTTTCTATAGAATTAGGTCCCGTGTTCTATATTTTGTTGCATATGACATTTGATTAGGTTAAGAGTATAAATATTATCATTTACAATTCTTAATCCACATTTAGCTAAGTGCGTACAGATGAACGTTAAATATGAAATATTTTTCAGATTGTATAATTTGGTGAGACTGGTCCATACTTACAATATTGAGTGTAATACTTAGGAGAGTTTGCGAGAAATATTTGATTGTGTTTGCTATGTCAACCCCAGATGGAGCGGGTAAGACCCCTTGCATGAGCCGCAGTTGGTAGTCATAAAGGCTGCGAATTTTGGCTGTAACTGAATGTTATAAAAAATTATCATTGGGAACATAATGACACCGACCTAGATCCAACTACTACAAGTGTTGTTTATCAATAAAGTAAGACGTTTAATAGTATGGATTGCGTTATTAATACCTATTTGTAAATAATAATAGGATTGTTTTTTATACAAATCTAAAAATAAGTTAAAATAAGTTAGTTTTATACAAATTTAAAAACAAATTAGATATAAACTAGTTAATACTATTAAATCTTGCTACTTTTGTTTTTCTATCTCTGATCCCAAACCCCTGAATTAATCATTCAGAATATTTAGCCAACAGGATTTGTCAAATATCCCGCTGAATCAATGTTCCGAATAATAAATAAGGATCGTGTCAATATTTCGTAATACGGTATAGACAGTGTTTTTCTCTTCTTTTATGCCATTGAAGTTTTCCTTTAATATTAATAGATTTTACCGCTTTTGTATAAAACAATAATTTAATTTTCTTAGTATTAAACGCCTTATTTTTTAATTACAGTACTAAAAACGTTTAGTTTGTCTAAATGTATTATCACTTACCTACCATGCGCCATATACGTACCATGCTAGTACCACCCAAAAGGACTAAGATTTTAACATAATAAATAATGGCATAAAATTAAATTTTAATTTTTGTTTTAAAAAGATGTATTTTAAATACATACTAAAATATTACACAGGTACATAAAATAAAATAATATCTTAAACAGTGGGAAAATGATATTACAAAACCTTATTTCTTCTTCTTTTTAGTATCTATAAATTATTCGTATACTTTGTTTTATACCTTTATTTCATTTTCCTTATTATGCAATTTTTTTTATTTTTTTAATATCTTCTACATTTATGAAAGTATTAATTGTTTGGCTCTTTTCCAGCCCATAAAAAGTCTCTGGAACATATTAAATACTCAGGTAGTTGTTTCTTTGAACAGCTGGATCTGTGTGGACGGTTCTTAATCTGTATCTCCGTTTTCATTGGCAGATTTAAAGTTCTTTCTGATAATTTTTCTTTCTTTGTATAATAATGTAAAATATACATTATTGCCGTTTGTTCCCATTCACTACTCTTTTACGAATTTCTGTTCTTTCTGTTCTAGCTATGTTTAAACAAGCAAAAAAAAAATAAAAAAAATGCAAACAAAGACATGAAGACTTAACTTCTTAATGAAATTATGGACACAATCTTTTGAAAAATGCTTTAATGAATGCGAAGAGAATAATTTGAAGGAAATGAAATGAAAGCAATAGGTGATCAGGATGAAGCCAGCGACCCTGATACTGAAAAAGCCAACCATCCAGTCTAGGTTCATAAGAAAAATCACAAACCGCCAGAAGAAAATGAAGTCCTGGCTACAACATAAAGGCTGGAGGTAATATCCTTGCAAAAGAATTGCACAATTTAATAAAAGGGATCTTGGATAAAGAAGAAATGTCACAAAAATAGGATACTGCAATATGTCTAAGAGCTCCGTCTTGCTGAAACAACATCTCAATAAATTGTTTTTAAAGGTTAAAGTACGTTTATTGAAGTTTTAATTTCCACTTCGGAAATCGTTCTCAAAACATAAACATTAGTAAACTAAACAAATTTTGTTTTTTTGTTACTTGGTGAAAAATTCTTCTAATAACTAAATTTTATCTGACTCATTTATATTGAAAATTGAGACATACATTATACATTTTAAAGTAGACGACTTTAAAATGATATTGCCAATATTGTTGAGTTACGTTTAAATTGGCTTCAAACTTTTTTTTGAGGGCAAGTACAATTGAATTTCTAAGTGCATATCATAATTATCGCTTGTTAAATTTCCTTTTATACAAAAAGACCCAATTAACTGAGTATTCTCTTTACACGATCATAGTGGTCACAAACGATCAGTTTTTGTGGTCTTTGAGTAAGGTTTTCACGTATCCAGTGTGGATTTATCTCAATCAAATACCTTAAATTTTGGCGATTTACATTCCCACACAGTATAAATATTGCTGTGTTGGAAAAACATCTTGTTAACGAAGTTCTCGTCGATTACAATTTTATTCATCATTGCCTCACTAAACTATGATCTATCTTCACGTTTTTCCCTTCAGCTCTTATAAAAAGTTACAATAATATTTATAGTTTATTATTTTAAGAATTTGAAAGTAGTTCACACACAAAATTCCATTCGCCTCCCAAAAAACTGATGCTAACGCCTTTTTAGCCGATTTCTGGACAAAAGCCAGATTCACACCACTTCTTAGCCTCTTGTTTTGATTCAGGATCATGGTGGTAGACTGAATAGATCCAAGTTTGACTCAAGGTTGATGAGAAAGTCACATTCGAATGTGTTTTTGTTCCATTGTTAGCGAATGCGGCATCCATTATGAACACAGCTTTCTGAAATCCAATACTTTAGTCAAAATATTGCCAATATTGCCCAATTCAATGCCTAGATTTTCTATTAAATCACTTTCAGTCACTGAACGATTTACCAATACGATATTCTGTATTTTTTCTATTTCTGGCTTGTTGCTGTTTTTGGACATCCTTGACGTTGCCTTCAAGGCATGTACAAGGCAAACGGTCCTCAGTTCCACGCACCCCTCAAGTGGGGATAGGGTGCTAAGAATCCCCCGGTCAGCCAATAATGTCCCACAAGTTAAAAGGAGCGGTACGTGGACCATTCGAAGCACGTACCAAGCAAGCAAAGCAGCAAATACTATTTAAGAAATGACCCGCCTGAATATAGATATTTTAGGATGCAGTGAAGTTAGATGGCCACATTCTGGAATAAGAATTATGGATGAACACCATATCTATTATTCTGGAGTCGACACAACAAGAAACAGAAATAGCGTAGCGATAATAATAATAAGGAAAACAGCTAAAGCAGTAATAGGATTTACGCCCATATCAGACAGAGTTGTGCTATTAAAAATTTACTCAAGTCCCTCTAATATAAACACCATTTAGAAAATATTTAGAATTTAGAAAACAAGAAATAGAAAATTTCTATCAGACTCTAGAAGACTCTCTGAAACTGACCAAAAAACATGAACTTACTATTATCATGGGCGATTTCAATGCCAAAAATAGGACAAGGTACAGTCGAGAATGTCGTGGGGTCATATGATGTTGGCATAAGAAACGAAAGAGGAGAAAGACTAATTCAATTCTGTCAAGAGACGGATATGGTTGTAACGAATAAACTTTTTAAATTACATCCAAGAAGACTTTATACATGGAAAACACCTGGTGATACCTCAGGGAAAATCATAAGAAACCAAATTGATTTTATCAACATAAACAAAAGGTTTAGAAATTCTATCACCCCAGCAAAAACATATCCAGGCGCAGATGTCTTCTCAGATCATAGTCTTTTGGTTGCAAATATCAACATACGACTCAAAATAATTCATAAGAAAGTGAGGCCCAAGATAGATATGACTACTAAAAGAAAATGACACCCAGAAAAAAGTAAAATCAGAAATTAATAAGAATTTTGCGAAAATAGTTGAAGACACTACTAGAGGCATAGAGGAACAGTGGAACAAAATGAAGACATCTATTACCACAATTTCGCATGAATTTCTAAAATCAATAAGAAAAAAACAGCAAGGATGGATCAAAGATAAAATATTGTAGATGATGGAAGAGCAAAGAAAATTAAAAGGTAGAAATGACAACGAATACAAAAAGTTGCATAAGACTATACTAAAGAAGATAAAAGGAGCAAAAGAAGCATGGCCGACGAAAAATGTATGGAAGTTGAAACACTACAACGCAAACATGACGATTTCCATATGCACAAAAAAATTAAAGAGGTACAGAATACCAGAAAACAACGCAATACAGGCATGGTTGTAGATATTAAACGTCAAATTTTGACTACCATTGAAGATAAATTACGAAGATGGAAAGAATATATGCAAGAATTTTTCGAAGACGCAGCACGAAGTCCGACTGAAATATACAATCCCTACGATCCAGAAATAACAAACGAAGAAGTAACTATGGCCATTACGCGGATTAAAGATGGGAAATCACCAGGACCTGATGAGGGGCATGGTGAAATCAGTTATTAGAGTCACACTAAATCACAGCTCTTACGAATATTCAACAACATCTACAAGACTGGTTACTTACCAAAAGACTGGCTATTATCAATATTCATTTCATTTCCTAAAAAAGCCAACGCTAGAGAATGTGAAGAACATAGATTAATTAGTTTGATGAGACATGTACTTAAAGTACTCCTTACTATCATTCACACGCGCATATACATCAAATTAGAAGAATACCTGAGTGAAGTTTAATTTGGATTCAGAGCAGGACTCGAAACGAGGGAAGCACTTTTTAATTTGCAAGCTCTAATACAGACAGCCAGGGATGTTAACTGCGATGTGTATGCATGTTTCATTAATTTCGAGAAGGCATTTGATAAAGTCCCATATGGGAAACATGCCTTAATAGCACATTGTGTGTATCTTACAATGTTCCAGTAAGTATACGCGTTCTGATACCTCCCAAAATATGTGATAGGTCGTTTGTAGGTTTTTTAAAGGAAATAAGACCATTTAAATTAATTTATTTAAACCTTTTTTTAATGGTTGTAGTTGAAAGAGCTTGAACGAGTCACTAATCACGAGTGTATGAAAAATTTGAGCAGCCTTATCTTAGGCTACTAATTAGGGGGTGATTTTCACAATGTATTTGCAAAAAAAATGGACCAAATTTATTTCAAGCGTAACTCGATTATATTTGATGCTAGAAACTTCTTTAAAACAACAAAAATAAAGATTTTAACACTTTCAAAAGTTTTTAATAGGTTTTCGGTGAAAAGTGTTTTATTTTTTGGTTATTTCACGTTGAAATATTCGATTTGGAATTTGACAAATAAGAACCTACTTTTCATGAGCTACAACTCTGCTTCTACTAGGTCTACAAAATTCATAAGTAATCAATTTTTGTTTGTTTTTTTTATAAGCTACATTTTTGCTAAGAATATTTTTTTCGATAAAATACTTACTTTTTGAGTTATTTTTAAAAAAACCGTCTACAAACGTGGTTTTTATTTTGAAAATGAATATTTTCACTCGCAACTAACTCAGAAAGCATTGTCTTAGTGAAAAAACTTTATAGAATAATAGTTGCTTATAATTAGTTAGTTTATCCATTTCCAGACTTATTTTGAACATATTTATTTACCCCTGATACAGAGATGGCTTTCACCCTTCAAGTAATAGCAACCCTGGGCTCGAGTCAAAACGTGAAGTAGAGGACAAAAGGAACCTAAATCCACATTTTCAAGCAAATCCGTTGTGACGAGGAAAATTACACAAGCTGTATACCCTTTTTTTGGTTGTTAATATCATTTCCCAACTTTCTCATTTATTTGGAATAAATGAGATATTTCTTTTCTATTCTTTATTATAGTTTTTAATCTACTGCTTATTTAGTTTATTAAATCATGCATTTTGTTAAATAGACAATCTCGGTAAGTATATCAATAAAATTTTACAATAAAATTTAATTTTATATGCACAAAAATCAATTTGTTATATTTTATACCTAATCAATTTC